GGGGGGGGGTGATGGGCTGTACATCCCCATAGGAATGCACCCCCTCCCCCTGACATTTTTATTTCTATATACTGTCCCACTCTCTGTCCCAGCCCACCCTCACCCCACCAATCCAAGCTACGAAACCAATACCACAATATAAAACAAACAGAAATACTACATCATCAAAAACACCATACGAAACATCCAGATCATCACCTTCATCATCGCATTATCAAATACACCACATCAAAAACCACATCATGACCACATCACCTTTATCACCACATCAAACAACGCATTATCACCTTCATCACCACAACAAACAAAGCACTATCACCTTCTTTTATCACCACATCAAATGCACCACATCAAATAACACATCACCACCTTTATCACATCATCAAACAATACACCATCACCTTCCTTCATCACCCCATCAAATACACCACATGGCATCAAACAACTCATCACCACCTTTATCACCACCTTCATCTCCTTATCAAACAAAACATCATCACTTTCGTCACAACATCACCAAATATACCACATAAAACAACTAAATCACTATACTAATCACCCTCTCAGCCCCCTCACATCGTCAGAGCATGACTCACCAGAGATCCCAAAGAAATGTTGGGCGGAACGGGGACTGCGTTCATCTCCTGCACCAGAATTTGTCTGAGCCCCTGAAAGAAAGAGAACGGGGAAAATGTGTTGAGATGTCCTGTCATGTCTGTTTTTTTAAATTGCTGTTTTTGTTTGTTTGTTTTGATTTGTTTGGGTTTTTTTGCTTTGCATGTTTTGCTTTGATTGTTTGTTTTTGTTCGTTTGATTTTTTTTAACAACTCTTATATATCCAAGAGAGGCTTCAATTCTGGGTCAGAATTAATTTTGAGTTTTGACCGGATACCCGCTAGAGGAGCCTACTTTTTTCTGTTTTAGAACCGCCATAGGATCTTCGATTTGCAAAACTTCCACACGGGACCTCCGAAAGTTGTGAAATAATTTACACTCCGCTCGCCATAACACGCCTGTTTGGTGTCAGTTGTACAAGATGGACGGTACCTGTGTAGTCGAGCTCGCCCTCTTCCCGTCCCTTCCTCCTCTCCCCCCTCCCCCAACACACACACACACACAGACACACACACACACACACACACACACACAGACACACACATACACACACACACTCTCTCTCTCTCTCTCTCTCATATACACACAGGCG